TCAGCTCAGGGTTCAATCTCCTCTTCTGGTGTGGTTAGAAGGTACTCTTCTTGGTGTGATGCGGCTTGGCTAGACGTCTCCAGGTCAGCTGCTTCAAGGTAAGGAAGAAGTTTCTTCTTTGTCTTCAAAGTGGATGGTCTTGGAGGACTATCCCATGAAGGTGGTGGTGCTTGAGGATCTAACATCTCTTGTTCGCTCAAGAGGTGGCTTTGAGGTGGTATGTGGCGAATTGGCATCGCCTTTATAGGGGAAGAGGCTTGTGGCTCCTTCTCCATATCTAACTAGGAAAACCTGAAAAGCTAAAAACAAAAAGGAAAAACCAAAAAGGAAAAACAAAATCAAAGAAAAAGGAAATCTAACAAAAACAAAAAGGAAAAGATGAAACCCTAGACTAGCTCTCTTGCAAGAGCTTGTAGGTGGCGAATTGGTCCCCGGCAACGGCGCCAAAAACTTGATCGCGGGATCAGGTCTTCCCCTTTCCTATCCCTGATTCTGCAAGTGCACAGGTCAGAAGTAGTAAACGGGTATCGAACACAAGGACCAGATTGCACACTACAAGTTATGAGTTTGAGAACAAGCTAGGGCAAAAGTATAAGTTGGTTGAGTGCAGAGAAAGTAAAGCATGCAAGTAATAAAGAAAGTGAGATTCAATAGGAGAGAAAGGCTAAGCAATAGGATAGTCTTGAGATAAGCAATTCAAGAAGCATGAAATCAATCAATTAGGGTTACCGCACTTAGGTGCTAATCTAGAACTTGAAACACTATGGTATGATCATTCCACTGTCGAGGCTCCGACCCCTTTGTTAATCTACCTAGTCGCTAAACTTTTGGTATGTCCCTAGGTGATTAAATCAAGCATTAGTTCGATCAAGATCAATTGTTCACAACCTACAAGTAGATCAACTTTCGCAGTCTAAAAGAGATTGCCCACCAAATACTAGTTCAGGCGAATGATACAGCACTGTCGAGGCTCAAATCAACCTAAAGGCATATGCTAATTGGCCAGATTAACAACAAGCATTAAGTATAAGCAAAGATGGAGATTGTAAGTAAAACCCTAATTGTGATCAATCATCAAGCATACATGAATGCTATCCTTTGACTTCCTATCACTTAACAAGTAAACTACTCAGACATAGAGAAGGAAATCGAATTCATATTCATAAGAACAGAGATTCGAATCCTCTCTAGAAAGAGTAACAAGCAAGAACAAAGTAAAAGCAAGCTGGGGCCATACGATATGGTGCCCTAGCTATTGGTGCCGTCCCTGACTCCAAGTTAATAGTGAATGGATTCTTCCGTGGTGGGGGCAATTCAGTTAACGCCGTGAATACATCCCCATACTCACACACCACCGGAATATCTCCCACTTCTAATTCCTTATCCTCTTCCTCTTCCACCACACTGATCGCAACTAGATAGGCCTCTGCACTCTCCAGTTGCTTCTCAACTCGTAGCGCTGCTACCAATGACACTGCCGTACTAGGACTGATTCCTTAGTACGTAATCACCGGTCTCACTGACCTTACAATGGTGACCTTTCCTCTTCCACAATCTAGCTGAGCTTTTTAGCTAGATAACCAATCCATGCCTAGGATTACTGATGATAGGATTTTGTGTGGATGTGAAATGATATGAAGAAGGATGATAAGATATGAGGTGGAATGCAAACAGGGGTGAATAAAGATGAATGGTATGGTGCAATCACAATCAATCAATTCCTCTTAACCATCATAGTCATTGAAGTATAAGAGGTTATCAATCCAAAATGGGAAACTTGTCACTCTATGAGAATATGAAACAACCAGAAAGTCAAGCAAGCAGTTAATAGATTTGAAGTAACACTAACAACCTAAAAAAATGAAAAGCAGTGCAATAAAAGTAAACAAAGCAGTGAAGTGTCAGCTCGACCAAGACTCGAGTCGAGTAGACAAGTACCAGCTCGATCGAGTTTAGGGTCGAGTTGAGACAAACAAAGCTAAAGGTGACGACTTTAACAAGATAAAGAGAGAATTAGGGTTCAAGACAGGGTTTTGCAATCAAAGGAATCTACACTTAATCAATCTAGCTCTTAAAACTCCTTGTATCAAGGCTTCTCTTGATATTGGGCTTCTCAATGCCTAGCCAACCCTTTCCCAAGGTGGAGGCTATCAACCAAGGAATGATCTCAGAAACAGGGGGTTAGCCAGTGAGAATCAAACCTTGGAGGCTATAGGATCATTGCCCAAACTAATCCATCCAACCCCTTAGACCTCTATTGTCTAGAGCAAGAGATATTGGAGCTCTTAGTGGATCTTTTCCAGCGAATGCCATCACTTTCGTGTGGGGAGTCGCCTAAGGACTTACAAGCCAGGGGTAGTGGTCATGTAGCCTTAAGATCTATCCAAAAGAGAGAGAATCTAGATTAAGACCATAAGCTAGAAGGATTAAGCATATGAAACCTCTAATCTATCCCATCTCAAACCCCAATGGGTAACTACTCACTACACATGAATGTAAACACAAGCAAATGCAATAAAAGAGACATCATAAGAAAGAGGAGATGAAATTAAACAACTTTTATTGAAATAAGCAAGTGCAAATACAAAGAGAGATTATCCAGGATCTAAGATTCAAGAAGCAAGAGCTTCAAGAACACAAAGATGGGATTAGATCTCTAAAAAGTAAAAGACAATAAATTAAAGAAACTAAAACAAAAGTAATCTAAAGCTTGGTGGTTTTTTCGTGGCTTAGAGCCTTTAAATACAAAGAGGATTAGGTTTAGGGTCAAAGGAAAGTCAAGGGGGAAGCAACATTTTTCGGGTTTGACTTTGACTTCTCAGCTCGATCGAGTTGAAGCTTGGCCGGTCGAGTTGAGGAACTCGACCGGTTGGTCGAGTAGACGGTCGAGCTGGTCTTCAAGATGGCTTCTCCCTTCTTCCTTTGCGTATCCAGTTGAGCTGCTTCCATGTGCCAAGTCCCTCCATGCTCCTTATGTCCCATATGCTCCAGAATGCTCCAAAAGACCTATTTCAAAGGACCAAACATGCATATGTATGCAAATGCAACCTAAAACTAACATGAATGCATAAGAAGAGAAAAGGAACAAGATATGATGCAAATGGAAGCTAAAACTATGCAAAAGATGCATAAAAGATGTGCTAAAACTATGTAAAATGCAAGTACATCAACACCCCCAAACTTGAACTTTGCTTGCCCTCAAGCAAACAAATAGAACAAGAAAGAGATGAGGTTTGAAAATAGCTGATTCAACACTTAAAAACATGTCCTCAAAAGCGATTTGCTAAATGTCCAACTTAGAGATTCTAGAATGCAACAAGGTGAGAGATATTCATTAAGATTTAACCATGCTTATCAACATCAATCCCACTTCACAGTCACTCAAACAATGCATTCAAATCAGCAAATCCCTTTAACATTCATTAAGCAAAAACAGTGAACCAAAAACATGCAAGATCAATCAACTCATTTGGTTTCAAGGGTTTATGGGTTAAGAGACAAAGAGGGTCTCTTTTGTATGGTGGTTTAGTAACAGGGATCTCTCAAGAAAGTGGCTTTGCTTTGGCAGAAGGCTAAGTGTTAGAACCAAAGATGATGCAAGAACAGCAGCTCGAGCCGCCTAATCCTAACTCGATCGAGTTCAACACTTAGAGCTTTTTAGAACAAAATCCTAACTACCCTTTTTGGCATTTCGCCTTTGAAACTGAGGAGCTTTGCTCACTTTTCTTTTAAGAACTTCCTAGGGAGAGGCTTCTTGAGGTAACATCTAGCGGTTTGGGATTTTCTAAACACTTAGGGAACTTTTCTTTCCTTTTTGACACTTGAGGCTTTGCCTTCTTTTCATTCTACTTAGAACCCTTTTTACTTTCCTTTTTTAACTTCCCAAACCTTTACTAGACCCTTTTTAACACTGCCAACTCCCTGGACTTAACCAAACTCTTTTTCCTTTGGGTTTTTCCCAACTTTTACCACTTTTCTGGTTTTTGACACCCAACTCGATCGAGCTCGAGTTGGCACCCCCAAACTTAGCCTGAAAACAATCCCAAGAGAACTAGACAACTAGAACTACTGCCCCTGCCGGTTTAAACACAACACCTTATGCTAAGCAAAGCCAAGAAAGGTTCTCACATTCGCACAAGAGATAAAATGGGGTTTGAAATGAAAAGGCTTAGGTTTAAGGTGTGGTAACTGTCTCAAAGATAGAGATCAGCTATCTGGACAAGCAAAAGGGATATGAAAATAGGTAAAGAATGTCCAGATATGTATGTGGTAGCCATGAGTTGAAATCAAATGCAAGCATTGGTAATTAAAGATCAAGTTATGGTTCAAATAGATAGGGAAATGCATCAAATCACAGCAATGGTTGAATGAGATGTGCATGCAGCGATATGATCAAGATAAACATGGTTCTTGCTGCTCAATCAATCTCACCCTAATGCACAAAAGAATCTAAAAACAGGGCACTCAAGAAATCGCAAAAGATGGACAAGTTTTCAAAGTCAAATCAACAATGCAAGTGAAAAATGCAATCCTAAACAAGTCTAACAAATATGAATGCAAAAAGATGAAAATATTTTTGGATTTTTTGAAAATTTTATGATTTTTTTGGTTTTTCTATGCAAAAGATAAATGAAAAACTAAGAACAAAGAAAACAAGGTTAAATCATCTCTTGAACCCTCCCCCAAACTTAAATCACACAGTCCCTTGTGTGAGAAAAATTTAGTGAAAGATTCAAGAGGGCAAAACCAAGAAAAAACAAGAACAAATGCAAGAAAATATGAAATGGTATATACAAGGGTTGGTGTTTGGATACCTCAGTGCCCCCCAAAGAACTGGGAGCTAGGTCGTGGTCTGGAGATGGGAGACGGCCATCAGGAGCACTCCACTCGACTGGGTTCGGCTCACTCGATCGAGCTTGCTCACTCGATCGAGTTGTGCCTCTTCCTCTTCTTCCTAAAACCTGCTCCTGTGAGACTTAGCCAAGAAAAATCATAAAATAAAAGGATAAAGTATAAATACATAAGATAGACATGGGAATTCCTCCCAAGTGAGCTTGTTTTAGGTCTCTTAGCTTGACCTTACCCCTTTTAGGCCGGGGTTGGATCTTCTAGAGGAGTGATGATCTCCTCTGTGGGGGTCATTCCTAGATATGGCTTGCATCTATGTCCATTCACTGTGAATTCCTTCCCCTCTTGATTGAGAAAGTGAGGGATCCATAGGGTAGAACTTCGTGAATCTTGAATGGTCCCGCCCACTTTGACCTCAGCTTCCCGGGAAACAACCTTAGCTTGGAGTTATACAAGAGCACACTGTCCCCAACCTTGAAGTCCTTAAGGCGAATCAGTTTGTCGTGGGCTGCCTTGGTTCTCATCTTGTAAATCCTAGAGTTCTCATAGGCATTCATTCTTATCTCCTCCAGCTCAAACAAGTTCATTACCCTCCTTTCTTGTGCTGCCTTTATATCAAAGTTCAGCATCTTTACTGCCCATAAAGCCTTGTATTCGACCTCCACAGGTAAGTGGCAGTCCTTCCCATACAGCAAATTGAAAGGAGACCTTCCAATGGGGGTTTTGTAGGCTGTTCTATAAGCCCAAAGTGCCTCATCAAGCCTTGCTGCCCAGTCCTTTCCTAGTGAAGCTCACAGTCTTCTCCAATATGGCCTTATCTGTCTGTTGGAGACTTCAACTTGCCCACTGGTTTGAGGGTGATAAGGTGTGGCGACCTTGTGCTTGACTCCATGGCTTCTCATCAACTTTTCAAACACCTTGTTGATGAAATGGGAGCCTCCATCCGAAATAACAACCCTTGGGATGCCGAACCTTGGAAAGATGATGGTTCTGAAAAGCTTGACAACCACCTTGGCATCACAGGTTGGGCAGGGAATGGCTTCAATCCATTTGGACACATAGTCACAGCAACCAAAATGTAGTTGTGCCCGTTTGAAAGGTCCCATGAAGTCTATTCCCCATACATCAAAATCTCAACCTCTAGAATTGGGTTTAGTGGCATCTCGTCCCTCTTGGTGATCCCTCCTTTCCTTTGGCACGGATCACACTTGGCAATGTAGTCTGCTGCATCCTTAAACAAAGTAGGCCACCATAAACCAGATTGCAAAACCTTAGTTGCTGTTTTGAATGTAGCAAAGTGACCTCCGTAAAGCTGACCCATGGCAATGCTCTAGAACTCCTTGCACATCCTCTTCAGCTATGCATCTCCTGTAAATGCTGTCTGGTCCTCTCTTGTACAAGTAGGGCTCATCCCAATAGTAATGCCTAGCATCCTTGAAGAATTTCTTTCTCTTGTAAGCATCAAAGCTACTAGGGACTTCTCCGGACACCATGAAGTTCACTATATCAGCATACCATGGCAAATTCTCATCACGCAGAGCCTTAACTTCTTCCAGCCTGGCTTTCTCATCAAAACTCTCCTTCAAGATCATGATTGCCATAAGCTGTTCTTCAGGCATAGAATCATTGATGGGGATCATTGATGTACTTGCATTTTACATAGTTTTAGCACATCTTTTATGCATCTTTTGCATAGTTTTAGCTTTCATTTGCATCATATCTTGTTCCTTTTCTCTTCTTATGCATTCATGTTAGTTTTAGGTTGCATTTGCATACATATGCATGTTTGGTCCTTTGAAATAGGTCTTTTGGAGCATTCTGGAGCATATGGGACAAGGAGCATGGAGGGACTTGGCACATGGAAGCAGCTCAACTGGATACGCAAAGGAAGAAGGGAGAAGATCGAAGCCATCTTGAAGACCAGCTCGACCGTCTACTCGACCAACCGGTCGAGTTCCTCAACTCGACCGGCCAAGCTTCAACTCGATCGAGCTGGGGAGTCAAAGTCAAACCCGAAAAATGTTGCTTCCCCCTTGACTTCCCTTTGACCCTAAACCTAATCCTCTTTGTATTTAAAGGCTCTAGCCACGAAAAAACCACCAAGCTTTAGATTACTTTTGTTTTAGCTTCTTTTAATTTATTGTACTTTTACTTTTTAGAGATCTAATCCTCATCTTTGTGTTCTTGAAGCTCTTGCTTCTTGAATCTTAGATCCTGGATAATCTCTCTTGTATTTGCACTTGCTTATTTCAATAAAAGTTGTTTAATTTCATCTCCTCTTTCTTATGATGTCTCTTTTATTGCATTTGCTTGTGTTTACATTCATGTGTAGTGAGTAGTTACCCATTGGGGTTTGAGATGGGATAGATTAGAGGTTTCATATGCTTAATCCTTCTAGCTTATGGTCTTAATCTAGATTCTCTCTCTTTTGGATAGATCTTAAGGCTACATGACCACTACCCCTGGCTTGTAAGTCCTTAGGCGACTCCCCACACGAAAGTGATGGCATTCGCTGGAAAAGATCCACTAAGAGCTCCAATATCTCTTGCTCTAGACAATAGAGGTCTAAGGGGTTGGATGGATTAGTTTGGGCAATGATCCTATAGCCTCCAAGGTTTGATTCTCACTGGCTAACCCCCTGTTTCTGAGATCATTCCTTGGTTGATAACCATTCTCTAGAGCCAAGGCCATAGTGACTTCAAAACAGTCCAAGGACCCAACCAAGCTAAAGGAGCTTCTGTCTCAAGTCCTCACTATCACCCTTGATGGTGGGACTAGCTCAACCAATGCCTAGAAGGTAAAGGTCAAGCTATGGGACCTAAAACAAGCTCACTTGGGAGGAAGTCCCATGTTTATCCTTGTACATATTCTATTTATGCAATTTCTTCTAGTATTCTGTGTTTTAATCTTCGAATAAGTTAAGTTTAGGTGTCAAGGGAGCCAGCTCGACCGACAGCTCGATCGAGCTAGAAACCAGGGCAACTCGATCGAGTTCCGCAACTCGACCAAGGTAAGTTTTTGAATTTCAAATTTCTAACCGTTTTCCTCGGTCAAGGGAGTGGGTCCCACTAGTTAATTTTGGCCCCCCACTTTCTGAATTTGATCAGAAAAACCCTAGCTTCTTGTCCCCCTTTTATTTCACCTTTTAATCTCAACCACACATCTCAAAACAACCCTCTTCCCCATAACTCGATCGAATCCACCTTCCCCACTCTCCCACACTTTAAGGCTTCTCTTGATATTGGGCTTCTCAATGCCTAGCCAACCCTTTCCCAAGGTGGAGGCTATCAACCAAGGAATGATCTCAGAAACAGGGGGTTAGCCAGTGAGAATCAAACCTTGGAGGCTATAGGATCATTGCCCAAACTAATCCATCCAACCCCTTAGACCTCTATGTCTAGAGCAAGAGATATTGGAGCTCTTAGTGGATCTTTTCCAGCGAATGCCATCACTTTCGTGTGGGGAGTCGCCTAAGGACTTACAAGCCAGGGGTAGTGGTCATGTAGCCTTAAGATCTATCCAAAAGAGAGAGAATCTAGATTAAGACCATAAGCTAGAAGGATTAAGCATATGAAACCTCTAATCTATCCCATCTCAAACCCCAATGGGTAACTACTCACTACACATGAATGTAAACACAAGCAAATGCAATAAAAGAGACATCATAAGAAAGAGGAGATGAAATTAAACAACTTTTATTGAAATAAGCAAGTGCAAATACAAGAGAGATTATCCAGGATCTAAGATTCAAGAAGCAAGAGCTTCAAGAACACAAAGATGGGATTAGATCTCTAAAAAGTAAAAGTACAATAAATTAAAAGAAACTAAAACAAAAGTAATCTAAAGCTTGGTGGTTTTTTCGTGGCTAAGAGCCTTTAAATACAAAGAGGATTAGGTTTAGGGTCAAAGGAAAGTCAAGGGGGAAGCAACATTTTTCGGGTTTGACTGTTGACTTCTCAGCTCGATCGAGTTGAAGCTTAGACGGTCGAGCTGGTCTTCAAGATGGCTTCTCCCTTCTTCCTTTGCGTATCCAGTTGAGCTGCTTCCATGTGCCAAGTCCCTCCATGCTCCTTATGTCCCATATGCTCCAGAATGCTCCAAAAGACCTATTTCAAAGGACCAAACATGCATATGTATGCAAATGCAACCTAAAACTAACATGAATGCATAAGAAGAGAAAAGGAACAAGATATGATGCAAATGAAAGCTAAAACTATGCAAAAGATGCATAAAAGATGTGCTAAAACTATGTAAAATGCAAGTACATCAATTACTTCAAAGCGGGCTAGTGGTAGGACTAGTAGGTCAGCCTTCAAGGTGTCTCCCTGCAATTCAACAGGCACACCGAAAACTACACGGGATGCCTTAAGGACTTGGTCTCCAGGGGTTAATATATTAACCTCCACCAATCCTATCTTATAGGCATCCCCAAAACGAGATGCTACTTCAGGAGTCACTAAACTATGTGTCGCTCCCGAATCAAACAAAACATGTGTCAGGTTACCACCTACACATATTGTTCCAAGCATCACCCAATACCAATACATTTACTAATCAAGCAAGCAATCACACCAAAATTAATCAAACTCTAAAACAAGATAGAGTTAGCGCCCTTTCATACCTGTAATGGGACCTTGGGTTTGTCCCGACGGGTTTGATGGTCCTGCTTCTAAAGCATACACCTTACCCGTGTTACTTAGCCGCTTAGGCGGGGATTCTTTCATTGGTCGGGTCGATGCTTCCTTGTCAGCGCCTTTTGCTGCACCACCAGCCGTACGAGGACAGGCATTTGAGTAATGCCCTTGCTCACCACATGAGAAACATTTAGCCGAAGCTCCTGCCGGCCTATTACGGTAACACATCCGCGCGACATGTCCTATCCTTCCACATGTATAACATTTCTTATTTTCATCTCCAGATGGTTGTCCACCTTTACTGGGATTAGGTTGGTTGGATGACTGGTTTGCCTTCTTTGCCTTGCTTGCTGTCTTGGATTCTATCTTTCGTTTATTCCAAGCAGCCTTCTCCTTAAGTAGATATGCCTCCACATTCACTACTCTCTCTATTATCTCATGGGTGTTGGTGAAAGTGACTGACTGAAGTCGACTTCCTATCTCCGGTTTCAGACCTTGCATGAATTGCCTCACCAAGGCCTTATCATCCACATTGCAATATGAGACATAACGCTGAAGTCTCATAAATTCTGCTTCATACTCCCTTACACTCTTTTCTCCTTGCTCAAGTCGGAGAAATTCTTGAGCTAAGCGATCTCTTGCTTCAGCTGGGAAGTACTTTTGCTCAAATTCTTCCATGAATTTTTCCCAGGTGTTGATTTGATACTCCTTCTGTCGATCTACACTCTCCCACCAGTTTAATGCCTCCTTTGCTAAGTAGTAAACTCCGACGTCCTTCTTGAAGTCGTTTGGGCATCTGGTTGCGGTGAAGTTCTTCTCTATGCATTATAACCATGAATCCGCCTGATAAGGATCTGGCTCGCCTCCAAAGTGGTAAGTTCCCAAAGTCTTCATAGTAGTTACTATTTTGAGAAAGTCTGGTGGTGGAGTTGCTCCATTTCCCGGACCTGATGCAGCTCGGTGAAGAACTTGAGATAAGAGATCATGCACCATGGAAAGAGTTGGATTGGCTCGTTGTTGACCGTCTTGTTCCATCAGTGGCCTAGCATCTTGCCGTGCTGGTTGATTAGCGGATCCGGAATGCTCACCCCGAGCATTCCCATCCATGATTTGTGGATGATGAACTCGAGATTTTGTCCCATGAGAGTGAATGGAGGATATATAAGGAGACATTGAGTGGTCTCTCCTTCCGGGGTTCTCGTAGTCTCGATCCTCGGCTGGACTATCAGTCTTTGGCATATAACCATGCATCATCCCCTCATCCCAATCTTCCTCTATGTCGTGTGTTGGTACATCTGATGTCTCTCTTCCTATCCCATCTTCTGGCGCATCCCGACCCAATGATAAATCCCTCGACCAATCGTGACTCGACATCCTGAAACCAATTAGTAAACAACCTAACATCTAATCCTAATAGGCAGAACAGACCTGATTCCTAATTTGGCTTTTGCGACTCCTTTGACTCGATAAGACATTTTGAAAACGGCATTCCCAGTGAGCATGACCATGAACCACGCTCTGATACCACCATTTGTAACACCCCCGATTCGGAATATAAATAGGCTAAACCGCAGATGTCACAATTGTGTAGGTCCATCAGGTAATTCATCCCAGGTCTCAGAACACATCAGAGCCCAGGCCAGTTAACCTGATGAATACGACCCTCTCGACCATTGGTTAAGGCTTTGCAACCTTTACCTCTAGTCTTGAGTTGTGTTAGCTTGGACTAGCTAATATCATTCCAGTAAGCCGGGTTTTCCAAAAACATAACTTTATATTTCAAACACTGAAAACATGTTCTTACAAAACCTTATCCTACATTGCCGGCATGGCCTAACGCCCAAAAGAAAGACATTGCAATACATTACCCGAAATCGAGTTTTTAACAAAAGCCAAGCAAATTACTCCGGTCTTCGAGTGTTCTGCCTCCCGCCCACGGGCTATCTACTCCAAACTTCCTGAAACACAAACAATTGTCATGAGTAACCTAATGTTACTAAGTGAGTTCAGGACCCTCTATACAAAGGTTATTCCCCAAACCCAACCCCAAAAATAAAACACATTGTGTAATGCTGCTATAGCCTCAAAACTGACTGCACAACAATCAAACAAGAACATGTACGACCAATCAGAGATTATAAGCAACACATAACAATGCTCAATTCTAAACCATGGGCTTATCACCCCGCCACCTGCATCAAATAAAAGTATGCATAATATATGCATACCACCTGCAAATTAAGTGCAATCACACATGCAATTAAAATGCAATCAATACTACGACAAGTACTCATGTACTTAACCCTCAGTCTATACTCCATTGCTTCACCGGTTAAACCTCTAACTGGTGTACCAAGGGAACTCATTACACGTACACGCGAAGCACCGCGCCAGGAAAAACACAGTAACCTGACTGGCCCTCACTCATCGACCTAACCTCACTGTTAGTCGGATCATACCGTCGTATGATATTAACTTATTCTTTCTCTTCTTCTCCACGCCCTCTCTCTTTCTCTTTCTAGTTTTTCTCTCTAGATTTCAGTTTCTGGTGTGGTTTGGAAGTGAAGACCAAGGGGGTCTTTATATAGGTTTTCCGGAAGCTCAAGGTGGCGTCTGATGGCTTCAGAACGCGACACCTTGCTTCTGCATGCAACCAATGGCATGGGAGCACGCCTGGAGCTGCTTCTCCCATCCCCATCCACTTGGGTCGAATGGCACCTTCCCATTGGTCCATTCCCCAAGCTGCTGGATGGCTGAACGTGATTGGTTCGTTGAGGATGAACATCTCCTCCTTGTTCCTATCTTCCTGGATCAAGTGGCTCCTTTCCATTGGCTCCTTCCCTCAGTTGTTGAGTGCCATCACTTGATTGGCCTAGAACTCCTTCGTCCTTACTCAGTAGCTGAGTGTAGCCTTCTCATTGGTTCAGACCACTCTTATCCTTTAAGCTGCTGGTGTCAACATCCCATTGGTCTTGAGATGATGTGCTCCTTCCCACGTTTCTTCTTGCAGAGGGTTTTGTACGTTTCCCTTTCCAAAGGTTTTTGTACGTTTCCTTGTTCGGAGGGTTTCGTTCCCGTCGTGCTTGAGAATTGAAATCGCCCATTTTAATCCTTCTGTCATTTCCATGTTTCTGAGCTTTCAGATAGCTGCTTGGAAATGTCCGGAATACCTCCATCCCGGGACATTTGTATATCTTGTGGGATAGATCCTCCGTGGGATGGTTGTTTTAACTATCCGTCCCATCACGTGCTTAGCCATCGTGAGGGGTATTACACTGTCGCCGTCCATCGGGGGAATATCTCCTCGATGGTATATGCGGATGAGGTTACTGATGAGGTTCTTACAGTTTTCGTTGGAGTGGCCGGTTCTCCCGTGGAACTTGCAGAATGCTTTGGTGTCGTTATCGTCTCTGAGTGGGGCAGCGTCGGAAGGCGTTAAAATTGTCGCAGCATACCACGATTCTTGCTCGGACTCGTCATCGGCTGCCGCGAACGATGTGAGGAGCGATCTTTTGGGGTCGGGTTTCCTCCGTACCTCCACGGCTTCTTCTCTAGGTTTGGGCGGGGCTGTCCTCCTATCTCCATGCTTCTCGGCATAGAAGGGCTTGTCTTCCTCGAGGAAGATGTAGCTCTGGGAGTGATGGAATGCGTCTTCCAAAATTGTGGGAGTCTTTAGTGATAAGTCCTCCTTGAATTTGGAGTCGTACCAGAGGCCGTTACGGAGTGCTTCTAGCGGGAAACTGTCGGGCATGTCGCGAGCTGCTTGCTTGAACCTTTCCATGAAACTATGTAATGGTTCACCTTGTGCTTGCGTCGTGGTGAACATGTTCCGCGTGACTCGGGTCATATGCATGGAGTAATGCTTCAGGAAAGCATTAGTCAAGTCGTCGAAGTTATGGATCGACTCGGCAGGGAGGTTGGAGAACCAGGTCAAGGCATCCTTCGTCATGTGCTCGACGAATACTTGACAGTAGTTGGCTTCCTTCTCGTCGTAGGATTTGTTTTTCTCCCTTGTCATGGCGAGATTGAACGCTGTCAGCCACTTCTTGGGGTCTTCTTCTCCAGTGTAAGAGTCGATCTTGAGTCGAATTCTCACGCAGATCGATCTGGCGGAGCCTGCGAGTGAGCGGGCTCTTCCGGGTATCAGCAAGTGCTTTCGTCAACGCCGGGGCTGAGCTAGTGGCGTGATGAATCTTAGAATCGACCTCGTCGAGACGACGGTTCATTCATTCGAATTCTAGGGCCGCTCGTCGGCCAAAACGTGTTGGGCGAGTAGTGGTTCCGTTGATCGTCGCGGCTGCGGGATCCAACGGTTCCTCTTCGTCTTCTCGGGCCAAGGCCTCCACTTGCTCATGGGTCTTCTTCAGCTAGCGGCTTGACGAGACTCTCCATGAGTTTGCGGAGTTTGTCGCTCGAAGAAGATTTCTTCGGGTTGCGAGGCTTGTCGCTCGAAGAGGATTTCTTCGAGCGGCGTCGTGTGGACGGAGGAGGGCTCTCGTCATATCCTTGGCGATGCAGATCGTCGCGGCGAAGTAGATCTTCGCGGCGAAAAAGATCTTCGCGGCGAAGTCGATCCACTTCTTGAGGGGACAGATTTGTCCCTGTCTTCAGCGTGCAGCGACTTATCTACCGTCGGCGGCGGCGGATCATTGCTTGGGTTTCTTTCTGTTCGGGATGGACTCCCGGTAGGGGTGTTCTCTTTCGAGTTCACCATGGTTGTATCTTCGTAAAAGTCTAGATACCTACAAGATGAATAGCGAGAAGCGTTTCCAGCCCCACGTGGGCGCCAGTTGTTAGATCTGAGATAGCACTCGTTAAGACGGGATACCAAAGATGTGAGTTTAGGAAACTGGAGGTTTGATTAACTCGAAGAATATCAGGAAGATTACAAAAGATGTTATCTCGCCAATATGCTTGACGAGATGAACTATGATGAACAAGAGGAAAGCGAAGAGGAAAGTAAAGAGAATGCTAAGCCTAGATTTCTTGTGAGTAATTCTAGATGATCCGATCCCTCCATCATTATATAATGTTGATAGGTCGGCTCCTTGGTGAATATTTTCCTTCCGGCGATATGGAAAACTTCCTCTTTAGCGATATGGAAAACTCCCTCCATCATTATATAATGTTGATAGGTTGGCTCCTTGGTGAATCACAAACTTCCCATTTTTCGAGTCGGCATGAGGGTTTGTTTACATTTTCTCATGAGTTGTGCCTTTCTCCTCAAGTCTTGCCATTTTGTTGAGGAGGGTAGGCCTAAAGTCGGATTGGACTTTGTGATTTTACTAATGATGACGGGCTCAGGGAAATGTGCTAATTTCTCCTCTAACAAAAGGCTGGTCTTAAATTGTTTTGGTTGATTTTGAATCACACAATTATTATTACACCATCAAACCAAAATGATATTCTAACAATTATTTTGGATCATCATTTGGGAAAAACCATCTTTAAGCCATTTTTATCTGATTGATGCCAACTTGAAGCTCAGGCTTGAATTTCCCTCATAACACTTTCTAAAAGAGAAAGATTATTGAGATAAGAATATATTCCTATATTGTAGTAAGGATAACTTTCTATTGTGTGAGGTTTCATAGTCGTTACCATTCTTGTACAAATACCATGCTATGTGAATCAATACAATTAAGCTTTTACCTAGATAGAAGGAATTGAATACACCGACAGGTATGCTCCAGTCCCTAAAATGGCCACGGTTCGATTTCTTTTAGCTGTAACTTCGGAACAAGGATGGACGGTTTGTCAAATGGACGTACATAACGCTTTCTTACATGGAGATCTCGATGAGGAAAGTTATATGAAGTTACCTCCAGGCTTTGAAAGTGATGATCCTTCTAACGTATGTCGATGATTTCACCATATTTTACATGATTTTACTATATAATTATTTATGTTTTCAAACGGTTTTTGCAAGATTCTTTGCCTTTAGAGGTAGTTTTCTTGTATTTGTGGGATTTGAAGTCTTTGTAGGTGAAACCATCAAAAAGGATGCAAAAAGGAGTAAAAGAGTCTAAACCAAGATCCATGCAAGTTTCCAAGTCAAGAACATCATTTTATCTCCAAGTGTTAGTTCTCGCTAGCGCGCAGAACGAAGCTTCGGAAGTTTGGCCGCGTGCGGAGGAGTTCCCGACGTCCAAAAGTTACGATCTTGATATGGAAAGATAGATACTTGAGTCATGCATCACGTCGAAGTGGAATGAAGCCATTTGGATCAACATAAGGCCTAACTTATTTTCTACCGAGACATGTCCGGTAAGCGAGCAAACGAAGCCCATGGAGGATTTGGAGTGTCTAATGGCCCGAGCAGCAGCGCCAAAGGCCTTGATCGAATAGAGAAGAGGCCTGGCTAATGTTTGGAGCTTTCCTTGGTACAATGTCGGCCCATACACGACGTGGAGAAGAAGGCTCGGCTCATGGGAAACTTTCCTTTTTCCGGCATGAAGAAAACCCTACGCGACTTCGCCCATATATACATGTTTTTAGCCGCTGAAGAAGAGAGTCGTGGTGTGAGTTTGTGAAAGAGAGTCATGAGAAGAGAGCCAGAGAGAGAAGCCCTAGGAGATCGTCCAAGAAGAAGGAGGCGCCGCTCAACTCTTGTTCTTTCTTTTTCATTGTTTCCATTTCTATAAACTTGATTCTAAGAGTTTTCAAGGGAGAATCCGACTTTGTTCATCAATAGAGAAGCTTTCTTCATCCCTTTATCTCTTTTAATACTTGCATAATGCTTTCAATCATGCTTTGCTTGCTTGTTTGCATCATGGCCGAGTAGATCTCTTAGTTAGGCCGAGGAGATCTATGGTGGCCGTGATGATTTGATTGTGTTGCAACTTATTGGGATTTATCTTATGGATCTTCACCTTTACTTGAGCTTAATGCATGATTACTCTACCGTACATCTAGTAATCTGATCTTAGAGAAATAGAACCACGACAGTGCTGAATCTAGATCTCAAAACTAGTATTTGGTGAGCAATAGATCATAGCCAACGAAAGTTGAGTTATGGTTCATTGTGAACAATTGAATCTTGATCACCTTTAATGCATGTTTGCAATTCTAATAGCCAACGAAAGCTGAGTATATTAGGTTGTTTTAAACATAGTGGTTGGAGCCACGACAGTGGAAAGACCATACACTAGTGATTCATGTTCAAGACGGCTCTACACACATCCCATGCAACTATCTTTTCATCATTGCTCCATATGATTGTCCTTTGCCTAACTCTTGTTTTAAATTGTTTACAACCTCACTCACATTTCTTTTGTTTTGCTTTCTTATTCTAGGTCCAAAACCATCTCATATTGCGAGCTAGCTACAAACCAATCTCACAAGGTGTTAAGCGAGAACACTTCCTCCTCGTGTTCGACCCCGACTACAACACGGCTGTGCACTTGCAGCTCACTAGTTGGGTTTATAAATTGTGAAAATTTGAGGCAATCTAAACCCGCATCAGTCGACTAAGGAAATCTCTATATTGACTGAAGCAAGCACGTAGGTGTTGGTTTTCTAAACTTAGTCAAGCTCTCAAGAATTTCGGTTTTTTTGCAATGCTATGAAGACTATTCGTTATTCTCACTTACTCAGGGCAATATAAGTCTTCACATCTTGGTATATGTGGATGATTTTATTATTGCAGGGAATGATGTCTCTACTAATGAGCGATTCAAGCACTACCTTCACCAATGTTTTCACATGAAGGATTTGGGAAAATTAAAATATTTTCTTGGGCTTGAAATTGCTCGTGGACCAGAAGGGATTTATGTTTCACAACGAAAATATGCTCTCGACATCATTGTTGAGGCTGGTCTTCTTAATGCTAAACCATGCTCTGTTCCAACAGAATTAAATCACAAACTCGCTCTTGCTTCAGCTCTACCACATACGAATCCCCAACAGTATAGACGTCTGATTGGACGTCATATCTATCTCACTTTTACACGTCTGGAGCTCAGCTACAATGTTCATATTCTGTCCCAGTTTATGCAGAATCCATTGGAGGAACATTGGCTTGCAGGGTTACGAGTTGTCAAGTATCTCAAAGGATGTCCTGGACAGGGTATAATGTTACGATCTGATTGTGATATGAAGCTTACGGCTTTATGATTCTGACTATAATGCTTGTCCGCGAACACGACGGTGTCTCAACTCTTACGCTGTTTTTATTGGTGATTCTCTTATCTCTTGGAAGACAAAGAAACAACGTACCGTCTCACGTTCATCTGCAGAAGCGGAATATTGGTCTATGGCGGATGCAACATGTGAGCTTAAATGGCTTAGTGGTTGATGTACTTGCATTTTACATGGTTTTAGTACATCTTTTATGTCTCTTTTGCATAGTTTTAGTATCCATTAGCATCATATCTTGTTCCTTTTCCCTTCTTGTGCATTCATAGTAGTTTTAGGTTGCATTTGCATACATATGCATGTTTGGTCCTTTGAAATAGGTCTTTTGGAGCATTTGGAGCATATGGGACGTAGGAGCATGGAAGGACTTGGCGCATGGACGCAGCTCAACTGGACACGCAAAGGAAGAAGGAGGAAGCCATCTTGAAGACCAGCTCGACCATCTACTCGACCAACCGGTCGAGTTCCTCAACTCGACCGGCCAAGCTTCAACTCGATCGAGCTGAGAAGTCAACAGTCAAACCCGAAAAATGTTGCTTCCCCCTTGACTTCCCTTTGACCCTAAACCTAATCCTCTTGTATTTAAAGGCTCTAAGCCACGAAAAAACACCAAGCTTTAGATTACTTTTGTTTTAGCTTTTCTTTAATTTTGTCTTTTACTTTTTGCAACCTAATCCCATCTTTGTGTTCTTGAAGCTCTTGCTTCTTGAATCCTAGATCCTGGATATTTCTTTGTATTTGCACTTGCTTATTTCAATAAAAGTTGTTTATTTTATCTCCTCTTTCTTTGATGTCTATTTCATTGCATTTGCTTGTGTTTTCATTCATGTGTAGTGAGTAGTTACCCATTAGGGTTTGAGATGGGCTAGATTAGAGGATTTATGCTTAATCCTTCTTGCTTATGTCTTAATCTAGAAATCTCTCTCTTTTGGACAAACTTAAGGCTACATGACCACTACCCCTGGCTTGTATGTCATAGGCGATTTCCACATGGAAGTGATGGAAATCGCTGGAAAAGGTCCACTAAGAGCTCCAATAACTCTTGCTCTCGAAATGGAGTTCATAGGGGTTGGATGGATTAGTTTGAGCAATGATCCTATGGCCTCCAAGGCTTGATTCTCACTGGCTAACCCCCTGTTTCTGAGATCATTCCTTGGTTGATAGCTTTCACCTTGGGAAAGGGTTAGCTAGGCATTGAGAAGCTCAATATCAAGAGATACCTTGATACAAGTTGTTAAGAGCAAGATTGATTAAGTATAGCTTCCTCTATTGCAAACCCTGTCTTAGACCCTAATTCGCATTAGCTTGTTAAAGTTCCTGCCTTTATCGCTTTTTACGCTAACTCGACCCTCAACTCGATCGAGCTGGTTACTCTGTTCCCACTCGACTCGAGTCCTTGGTCGAGCTGCTTGCTTTACTGCTTTCTTTACTTATTGCACTGCATTTCATTTCTTTAGGTTGTTAGTGTTACTTATCATCTTATTTACTGTCTTGCTTGGGTTTCATATTCATAAGAGCAACATTCCCCTTTTGGATTGATAACCTCTTATACTTCAATGACTATGATGGTTAAGGGAATTGATTGATTGTGATTGTGTTTGCACCATACCATCCATCTTTATTTACCACTGTTGCATTCCACCTCATATCATCACATCACACAAAATCCTATCATCAATTTGGCGCCGTTGCCGATTTGGGTTAATTTTGTTGCATTTGAGTTTCAATACACTTGGACGATCAAGCTATACCACCCCTGTTCTTTGTACTGCTGGGTTTTTGTCTCTTTTTGCAGGTGTATGCGAACTCGATCGAGTCGGTCAACAGAAGACTTGGTCGAGCTAGACTTTCACAACGGGTAGAAAGAGGGTTCAGAGGTCAGAGGGTACAAGAGGAACCTGAGGTGCTTGTTACTGATACAATGGATGTACCAGAGGGGAATGGAAACCCTTTGGGCAATGGACTCGGTCGAGCTAGGCAAACTCGACCGATTGGTCTAGGAGATGCTCCAAACCGCCACCAACAGAGACAAGGGATTGTTCCACCACCAGTGCAGAACCACAACTTTGAGATCAAGCTGGGAATGATCAACCTTGTTCAGAACAAGATGTTCCATGGATTGCCAAGTGAAGACCCCATTGACCACCTTGATGAGTTTGATAGGCTTTGTGATTTGACAAAGATCAATGGTGTCTCTGAAGATGCCATCAAGCTGAGACTCTTTCCTATGTCTCTAGCTGACAAAGCTCACCAATGGGAGAAGAGCTTGCCCCATGGCACAATCACCACTTGGGATGAATGCAAGAAGGCCTTTCTTGCTAAGTTTTTCTCCACCGGTCGCACAGCCAAGCTTAAGGAGGAGATATCAGCTTCATCAGCGAACAATGAGACATTCGCTGAGGCTTGGGAGAGGTTCAAAGGCTACACAAGTCAGTGCCCACACCATGGATTCAACAATGAATCATACTCTCCACTCTTTATAGAGGTGCTTGCCTAGGTATAGGGAGATGCTAGACACAGCCAGCAATGGGAACTTCCTCAACCAGGATGTAGATGATGGCTGGCAGCTTGTGGAGAACATAGCAACTCAATGGAAGCTATGGAGAAGAGTATGATCGCACCAACCGGAGCTCGACCCACCACTCGATCGAGTCGATGAGAAATTGAGAAAAGATGTTAAATTTGAATGAGAAGTTGGATAAGCTGATCTTAGCTCAGTCCACAATGAAGAAAGTCAACTTTGTGTCTGCTGAAGAGATGGAACCAGTCCAAGAAGGGGAGGATACACAATTTGCTGAGGTATGCTACATGAGCAATGGGCAAGGAGGTTACAACAAAGGATACTATAATTACAAGTCCAACCCAGCCATGTCATACCGCAACACTGATGTTGCTAACCCTCAGGACCAGGTCTATCCTCAACAACAAGCAAGCTCGATCGAGTCAAGCCCACAACATGGGTATGGTCAAAAACAACTACCAAGGACCCTCAAGGGACTTTTCCTGGTCAGCAAATGCACATACCACCTGGCTTTCCCCACCAACCACCCCAGCCTGCACCTACACCTGAGAATGAGCTCAAGGCATGCTAAACAACTTGCTTCAAGGGCAAGCTGATGGTGTTGTGGACACAAGCAAGAAGCTAGCTGAAATCAACTCCAAGATTGAGAATCTCAACACAAGAGTGTACTCTCTGGAGAATCATGCTTCTTCTGTTGCTGCTGCTACAAAGCAAGGACAACTACCTGGTAAAGCTATTCAGAACCCCAAGGAACAGTGCAAGGTCATCTA